GGGATTTTACGCACCTCCCCCCTCCCCTCCCCCTTTGGGCAATGAGGAAAAAAACCCTGCCCCCCCCTTCTTGGTCCTTGAGAAACCATTTTTCTTTTTTTGGGGGGCCCGGGGTCAATGGCTTTTTTTTTTTAGGGCTGGAGAAAAGGGCCCCCCCCCCCCCCCCCCCCCTTTTTTGGTTCTGGGGGCCTGCCCCGAAACCCCTTAAAGGGTGGCCGCCAGGGTTGGGGGGGTCCCAGGGTAAGCCTGGGCCACCCCCCACCCGGTGTTTTTTTTTCGGGAGGGGGCCGCGCGGGCCCTCCCGCCCTTGGGCCCCCATTTGGAGATTCTTCCTTTTTTCCGGCCAAAGTTAAACCCGGATTTGGTCCGGGGGGGGGGGGGGGGGGGGGGGGCTGCAGCGGTGCGCGAGTACACACGGCTTGTGTTGTAGTGGACTAGTACAGTAGTGGATTACGGATACTTGCCACTGCTGTGGTGCATGAGAGCTTTTCCATTGAGGTGACGTTATTTCGGTAGGATCCGACGGCTGCAATATTTGGTGTTCGAACTCGGTGCGGCCGGTTGCTGCGGCTGCTGTCCATGGAGGAGCGGTTTTCGGGCAGGTTTATTATTACGAAGCAGTTCAGTGCATGTCTTCACATGTGCCCTCATCTGCACCTTGTTGAGTCCTCGGCCACAGCCTCATACCAACGTAGCTTTCAATGATGCTGCAGTTCGAGTTCACAATTGTTCAGGATTTCTGCCACTGCATATGGGTACCACCAAGGTTGCACCTGTGTTTCCGAACACTGCTTGTGGGGTGTCGAGACCTTGTCAGCTTTGAACCTGTCTGGCGCGCGCGATTAAGTTGCTATCCGTTTGCGGTGAACGTTTCATGTTCTCGATTTCCATGGCAGTTGTGGACATTGGTACAACTTGCTGGGCCTTATGCCCCCCCCTTTCAACCCCTCGTGCGGCACTCAGGTAGTTCGCCCCCCCCCCCTACTTTGGCAGAATAAGAAGGAACCATTGGCTACCGGTGATCGGTCGTGTTGGAACAATGATCCGTCCTCTCGAGGACGCGTGGCCAATTGTCCAACATCTAAGGCATGCAAAACATGAGTACCCCACCACCACCACCACCACCACCACCACCACCACCACCACCCCCATCTCTTCCTGTAAAACCGAGCAGTATGCGAGAGTCACACTCTCTTTTCCGCGGTTTATCGGTATATCCCTCCTACCACACAGGTCTTGAACAGGGGGCACGTGAAGATGGTGGTCTGGGAGCGGGGGTGCGGCATCACCCAGGCCTGCGGCACCGGCGCCTGCGCCCTCGTCGTCGCCTCCGTCCTCGCGGGCCTGGCGGACCGCAAGTGCACGGTGACCCTGCCGGGGGGAGATCTGCAGATCGAGTGGCGGGAGTCGGACGGGAAGGTTTACATGACGGGGCCGGCGGAGCTGGCGTTTCAGGGAGACGCCGTCGTGCGGTGACATATTTTCTTCTTCTTCTTCTAGGCCGAGGAGAATTTTGGCCGTGGGGGAGGGCCAGGTTGTGAAGGTTTTTCTTAATGCTGCCAGGCGCGGTGGTTGGGAAGAACTCGAGAGCGTTTGTTGGAAGTTGGGGGAAGGGGATCTGGTGTGTGTGTTTGTGTATCGACCCGACGCATGTTGGAAATTTCACCGGAAGTGTTTAACGTGTTAGCTGGGTTGATGGAAATGAGTGTGCGGTGACGCTGTGGATGAATTCGAAGGCGTGTTTTTTTTTTGCTGCCCTTCGAAACAGCCTTCCAAAATTGACTCCGTCGTCTTGGCGGCGAGGGGATGAATGGAGATCTGCGCCAAACTTCTTAAAGAACAATTTTTGCCAAGAAATGTTTTGTGCTGACATGACGCACGCAAAACATGCGCAGGGGGAAGTATATTTCTACAGCAGCAGTGCGCGTTGTCACCGTTCATCAACTCTTCGCCGGCCGTTCAAAGTTATCTCTCTCGCACTCACCCGTCGGGCTTTCGCGCACATTCAACTGTGAAAATTTCAACTGGTCTGTTTCATTGTTGTGATTGAAAGCGAACTTCTGGGTTCAAGAGGTTTGGGTGGAAGAACCCTCAGCTCTGCAGTCAACAAACGTTGGAGTATATGCCACTGCTGTGCTCTTCTAGACTAGATCTTAGATCAAATCGTTGGTTAAGCAAAGGTGGGCCCGGGTCGGTTCTAGGAGGGGGGCAAACAAATGATTTGGGCACGTACTCGCACATGACATGTACATGGGGAACTGACGAGGAGAGTTGAAGGCGAGTGGCAACCTGCTCGTCAGAAACAAACCAGATGGAGCAAGCCGGGACGTTACCGAGATCATGGAGAGTCTTGAGCCACTCATTCCCGCCGGTCGTGCCGGCGAAACCGCCAGTCCCCCAAATCACCAGTATTGGTTTGTACGTAGGTCCAGCAGTAGCAGTAACAGAGTAACATAACGCCGATTGAACGTGCCGGTGATATCGCGTGAGTTTATTGGAAACAAGTGCAATACCGGTCGGTTGGCCTGGCACATACCATCATTATACCGGCGGCCACTGCATACTGCCACTCCCCCTTGCCTTTGCTGTACTGATCATGGATTCGATCAAAGACGTGGTACCGGCACTCTAGTAGAGTCGAACGACAGAACTCCGCCTTATTATGAGTATTGGCTTCCAGAAACCTGAGCGGCGACGCATTCCTCGTCTTTACGTCGGGATGTAGTCTAACTCTGCCATGCTATTGTTAGCCACATGACTGCTTGAAGAACCTGATCTGGGTGCGGTGTAGACGCTGGCCCTGGGCACCAAACGCGAACACGCCGACGCGCGCACGTCCTGCGTCTTTTGGTTGATTGGATGATGCCCCTATCCGCGGCGCCCCCGCGCGGAGCCCCCGATTACACCGCATCAAGACGCAGCTGCTGCGTGCGCCGTGCCACACACGCGACGGAGCACAGAGAGAGGGAGAGAGACAGCGAGAGAGAGAGCAGGATTCTTCTGGGGAGAGGTAGGTCTAGCTAGGTTTGTGTTTATCTCCCCACCTCCAGACATTGTTCGGCTCAGATGGAGGTAGAGGTGTGTTCAAAAAGTGCGACCTTCATAGATCCACGGGATGCAGCACAATGATCCCATTGTTGCACCCCGTGTTGTGGTGAGGCAACCAGCGTGGAAGTGGAGTAAGCTCAGGACAAAGCGTTGACAATCTATCCGCCGTTTTGGCTACAACTCGAAAGAAAGGTTGCCGATATAATCTCTTCATCGAAATGCACTTCATGCATTCGGCAGCGTACGCTGTGCTTTCAAATTTCTATGCGTTGCACACCAAATCGCTTGGCGCCCGTTCGAAAGTCAGTGTAATGCTACAGGAGGACACGGAGGAGTTGGTGGACCCGGTTAGCGACCCCTACAGCAGTACAGCAGTACAGTACTGTCAGGAAGGAATGCGAAAGCCGGTATTAGTCGGGGTGCAGTGCATCGCGATTTTGCGGTCGCCATTCGGGGCATGATGTCGCTACACCGGGCCCACCACTCCTGTATGCACACATACTTGTACATATCGTATCGGTATTTCGGAGGGGAACAGAGGACGTGCGTGTCGTCCACACCACACCCTGCCTACCCCGCGGGCCTCAGCAATGGTGGAAGTGGCCACAGCGTACCGTGACGACTTACTGACGGATATTGGTGCAGGACTGGTATTGCTGTGTGGAAATGTATTGTTGTCTTGTGCAGACGACAGCAGTCTAACAACCCCAATCCCAAACTCCGTGGCATTTGGTGCTGCCATGCCTACAGCAGCCGTGCAGCAGTGCCAGCTGCTGAATCTGCGGTGTAGCCCATACGACAATGACAAGTCTCACACATAGCAGTGCTGTATTTTTGCGGTGGCCCCATACAAGCGAGTGCTGTTCGTGTGTTCTGAAGCCGCTTTTCCCACACGTACACGTTTCCATGCCAGGGTTGGCGTGTAGGACAAAGAACACAGCGGGTCTACATGGTAAAGTACTTTATTGAACCCCAAGACTAGTCTGCGCTGACTTGGTCTCTGCTTCTAAAAGGCACCTTTATACGAAAGAAGGGCGGGCATGAACGAGCAAACCGTATCAACAACAGTTAACTTGCCGCAATGCGTTGTTCGCGGAGAGTGCAGCTACAGAACTTGGGGCAGGATTGGTCCCTGCACACGGCCGCATAGCAGTGCCAAGGTATCTGGCCGGCATTATTCCGGGGCCCTCGACACTATTCAGAGTATTGAGCAGCTTGAATATTCCATCCCTGTCGCGGACTTTCAGCAGCCTTATGCGGGGCGACCGGCCTAAACCAAGCACCACTAGTACTTCGGCTGTACTCGAGGGTAGAGGGGGCGTGGAGCCTCGTTATCGTAACATTCAACGACATGTGCGTAGCAACTTTCTCTCCCCGCGCGCGATCCGGAAGCGAAGGCAAGGTTTGATATCTTGTGGTAGCGTTGCAGCAGAGCCGCACAGTCGGCGTGCCCGCGCCGGGCGGGGGGGGCTTG